CGAACCATGAAAGCGCAGTGTATAATCTTGACACATAACGCCACATTGTCACGAGTGCTCTTGGGTCACAGGGCAGATGTGAATTTCATGGAAGGCAAGGCATCTTCCCATATCACATTCTGCGATGGGATCAACTACGTTACTTATGTTCCATTTATGAATAGGTTTTTCGGCACTACCAGTATATCATTCATATATTAAGTGTATTCACCCTATTTCGTTTAAGCTAATAAGATGACTGGTAATGGAGTGGAAATGAAAAATATACTCATATCATTGTTAGAAAAATTCAACTACTAGTCCTCTTATCACTTTAAACGAAATAGGGTGTTTCATTTTATATATAGACTGGTCTATTGCCAAATGCTTAGCTGGATATGGGGACTATAACAGTAAGCGAAGGATAGGAGAATCTATAGAAATCAACAAAATGGTTAATCCTAAATAGGAATAATGAGGGTAAGAAATTAATTGCAAAGTACATGTGTGGATTAGAAAGGGAGAGGGATCAAGAATTACCGACGAGCAAGAGAAGGTCTGATTAGCCTCAAATCTAGTTTTCACTCTCAAACCGCACGAGTCTCACGAGCATTGTATGCACACAACACGTGCAATAGAAAGTGCGGCAATATCGCAGAAGCAAAAAAGGATCTCAACAGAGGATGCAGTTGTTCGACCACAATTGCATCCTTTTCACACTTCATTTACAGACATTCCACATGTCTTCTGCAGCCATTTGACCCTGCAAAAGCATGTAGGAAAGCATAGGATATCAAATCTAGCTAAGCTATGAAGAAGTTGGTAGGATTGCAGCCGGCCACCTTTCTTATCTTTGTGCTTGGTAAATTATCTCAAAACATGGTGACCTGCTCTAAAGGAATCCGTCGCATGAGGGAAAAAACTCAGCAAGGGTTCACCGGGGTCGCAGGGCAGTGCACAGAGGAACAATTCGCACAAATCTACATTTACAGCTCCAATGCAATTCCACTAAATGACTGGTTAGGCCAACTTACTAATCTCTTCAGCTCGCCTCTTTAAACGTAATGAAAGGTAGTCCAACACAAAGAGAAACTGAGTTTTGTGGTATCTCTGGCATACCTTTCATTTCGCTTGAGAAGGCGGGTGGAAGGGATTCATAGATTGGCCTAACCGGATACCGAAGAAGGGTTGCCTTAGACTTTTGTATGCTGAATATAATTATATTTAACAGCCATTGATAATTCTTACTTAGTTTCGTACGTTAGTTCCTCTTATTGAGGATGTTATTTTTTTGTCATTTTTAATTGACCCCCTGATCTTCCACTTAGCTGTGAAGTCCTCATATCCGGCAAGACGTTGGGATTTAAACCACTATCTGGTGTCCTGTAATGACCACATGCTCAGCCACCTACGATTTCTGAATCCGTAAACCTTTGCAGGCGGTTATATGTTCTGATAGCCTCTTACGTATGGGTCGACAAATCTACCCCACATAAACACTACCATATGAGCAGATATCCTTATAAGAACCAGCTCTACAGAGGGCGTCTGAAGATTCTTTAAAAGAAGGCACAATCGAGGAGAGCGTTATTGTTTCTTTATACATTATCTTGACGCTCCATTTCTCCATAATTCGCTTATCTTTCTAGAAAAATCTTATATGATGGAAGCATTAGGAATCTGGAAAAAAAGTGGCCTAGTTCCTTGTTATGTATCAAGCAATAGTTTCCTTTCACTCTATTTCCTATTAGCTTCAAATTGTTAAAATTTAATCCTAACGGACAATTGTTCTCGAGTAAGATTTTTCTCAGCCCTATTTCTGATTATTTACGTCCGATACACGTAAACTACTTATTATCATTGATTTCATTACTCTTATTTTAGTACCATAAGTATGATTCAAGAATAAATTAAGGAAACCCGCATTTGTGGGTTTCCTATATACATCTCTATCAAGTTTGTTTCCTTATTTAATAACGAGGACACCTAAAAAAACTAGCTTACTGTCCTTTTATAACTCTCTAGTAAATTAGTCGCCTTATCTACTCTATTCATTAACCTCAGGAAGTCTTCCAAACACTATTTTCCATGCTGTCAGATAGCAAAGTAAGCATCCATATGGCTTAAAAAAGTTTCGGAACTAGGAGTGACTCTTGAAAAAGCCGGACTTTCAATTGAGCCATGTAGTAATTAGGTAAAACTGGAGCCAAACACGATCTCATAGCTAAACCTCCGTTTTTCTCGTACAATTTACTATCAAAGATAAAATATGTACTATTCATCATTAAGTTCGCCAATCTCATGATTGACTTCTTCCTTATCTTATTTCCTGATATAATCTCTGGGTGTAGATCTAAGGTTAATAATAACGCTTCTATGGCCCTGCTTACGGGTATATTTGTGTACATCGATGCTACATCAAAACTTACATGCAAAGCTTATTGTTCTATTAATTGCTCATCTATTAACTGTATAAACTGATAAGAACATTGAGGTTGTTTGACCTTGTTTTTTGCAACTTTGTCATATTGGTAGGAAGACTTACAGGAACGCACCCAGTCAGGGGCCTTAGTTCTATAAGTATCAAAATCAGCTAAAGTCCGCATCATCTTTTTTATACAATCTGTCCTAGCTATGCCTACAACTGCTCCTCCTTTATCTTCCCTCAAAACTATTTCCTCATATTATCTAAGCTTCTTTGTGATAAAATTATGCCGCCTATTATTATTTGGTTGCTCTACATAGTTATCAAATTAAGGAACAACCTGTATTTCAAATTCATTTCTAGTTTCTTCTGCTAAATGGTCAGCAAATTTAATAACCTCTACTAAAATCTTATCAGTGAAACTATTTGGTAAAGCATAATTAAGACCTCTAGATATAACTTCCTCATTAACAGGGAGTAATCGGGGTCGTAGGATGAAGAACCGAGGTCTTCTTTGTACAATTTAACAAACAAAAGTCCAAGGCAACCCTCCTTCGGTATCCGGTGAGGCCAATCTACAAATCCCTTCCACACGCATTCTCAAACGAAATGAAAGGTTTGCCAGTATCACTCCAATATTATGTAAGTTAGTCGGCCAGTCTTCTTGACCTAGTGTTAAGGTGAGACTCACAAAAATGAGTTCTAGCCCTGATATTGTCCATCATATGATGGACTAAAGCTCAGCCTATTCTCAGCAGAAACGAGTGACGATAGATATTCCGTGGAATGCATCAACCTAAAAATCATATTAAAGTCAAATGGCTGCAGCCGAACGGAAATCAGCCGTAGTCCTCTCTTTCGATTGATCCTCGAATCTCTTTATTTACATTCATGACTACTTTTTTCGTGTAACTATGACGATTCTTTAAACTAAATGATTCTGCCCTGTTCCCTTGCCGAGATAGTAAAAAATATGTAGTTTGGTGGTAAATGATGAATTATGCTTAAGATGATGCTTATCACGGATTCATCGGGGACGCGGGACGGTAAACCGCACAATTCAACAGTCACTTCTTAAAAGTCAATTTGCGAATGCGTTCCACACGCCTTTTCAAACGAAATGAAAAGCAAGTAAACGAAAATTCCTAATACAAGCTACAGTGGATTAAGATTTGAGTAGACATAAAAAATATTTTTATGCTTATATTTTTTTTAAAAAAAGTAAAAGAAATGATATTGGCTTCGAGGGACAAATCGAGAAAAAATACAGTAAAAGGGTTAAGAAAAAATATGTCATATTGAGCACGATCTAAATAAATCGATCATGAACCAAAATCACAAAAAATATATTACAAAAAGTAAACTAGATTATGCAAAGTACATGGATCTGGTCATTATTAGTCTCATGGATTCTAAAAAATGGTTGCATTTGTGAAGAGCTGTTTTTTTAAGTGGTGAAAATCAACATTGCGAGCGGATTTCATTAGAGAGATGAGTTATTTTTGTCAGACACCAACATCTCATGATTAGCGAGTCAACAAAATCCAGACGAAATATTTCTTGATGAATGTTATGGATATTATCCAAAGATGTGCAGCTCCATTCCGAATTTATTCCTCGTAGTCTAACTGGCTTTTTCCATCAAAAGCTCTTAAAATTAAAAGTAAAATCAAAATCAAATAAATAGGTTAAGAATAGAATAGCAAAATTAATTCTTGATAAGTCTCGAAACTTATTCTATAAGAATAATTATTCCTTTTGCTTGGCTTGAAGTCAAATGAATCTAAATAATTGAGTTGACAGAAAAGAATGAAATATTCGTATATATGAAGACCACGGTGTTGTGGCATATCTTTTGTTAGCAACTTTATGCAGAATGAATGCAACGGTCACTTATCAATTTTATAAGCAGCAACTCTGCTAGGGATGGCGTCTCTTACTACAGATGCCGATAGAAATATCAACGACCCGATGCAGTAAATTATCATTAATATTATTTTAGAGGACGTAAGACTAAGTACGTTCCACAAGGTCTCCCTATCGTCCCAACCATGTTGTGAAAACGAGATCATACTAACGCTATACTGCTTAAGGAGACTGCGACTAGATACAAGGCTAGACCGTCTTTGTCTTAATACCTAACAATGAAATATTATTTAGATGACTTCGCAAGGTGAAAGGATTGGCAGGTCCCTTAAGCCATAAAAGGATAAAAGAGGATTTCTAGCGTGTTAGGACTTGATCATGTCAGAGCGATTACATCGGCGCAATCCTCACTGACTCGATTTTGTTATAAAAATAAAAAAGTTGCTACTATCGTAGTCTGAAATTTTAATCAGAACTTCGAAATAACTGAAATCAAGAAGATTAATTGAGCTTTAATTTATACAGAAATATAATAAACTAGAAAGTAGAACAAAACGATGCAAAAATGTAGAACAGAGTAGAGAACTGAGATTTAAAAGTGAAAATGGAGGATAGAAATAAACGGATCAGCAGAGGGAATTCGAAGAATTTAAATATAATAATAAAAATAAGCATTCAATAGACTTTCAGTCACATATGGCCCCAAAAGATGAGCTTTTCGCTATTGTGCCTACCCAGAACTACGCTCCTTCATGCAAGTTGGACAATTAGCCAACCCTACCAAGCCGCCGACTGGTGCATCGACACAGGCCGCATGAAACACATGCTGACATACAAAGGCCAACAAGTTGTCTCTGTCGTTGCCGTCACTGTCACATACTTTTCTGGCCAAGGAATTAGGTATGGCTGTCGGTGGGATGATAGAAAGGTGGCGGGAACAAGCTGAACAGAAGGAAATATCATGTGGCTGTTCAATGCGAAGACCAGCTGAATGTAACTCAACCAGTTGCTCGAGCAGACGATGAACATCTGAGAGCAGAATGTGCTGGCAATTATGGCGCAGATCTATTTGCATCTGACAATCAAAAAGAATGTGAAAGGACAATATAAATGATTTGATGAATAGGCATGGCTATTAGGATCAAAAGTAAGATTAAAATAAAAATGTGCAAATATAAATAAATATATATCAATATTTAAAATGTGCAAAATTTGTTGGAATATTAGTCAAGATTGTGAAACTATGGAGAATGTTGAACGATTAGTTAACGAATACAGCAATAAAAGACATAGAAAGCCACACAGGAAAGCCTCGCCCTAATTCAAAGCTGTATCCAGTTTCGGGGCTTCACCAGTTATGAGGGATATTTTTCGAATAGTAAGGGTTTTGCAGAAACCGGCCCATAAAAGGGAATGAAACTAACCTGTAAAATATTTATGAGACTAGCTAATCGAAGGATGATCATGGTTCGCAGAAAACCATCCCCTAGGAATAAAAAAATTGTTTCAAAATAAGAACTTATTCATAACATAATTTTTACAAAACCGGTTTATTTGACCGCAAAACATAGCATGGAGACTAGATGGATTATGATGTAGTTGTGGAGTGACCCAATTAGGCTGACAAATAAAAACAGGTCAGAAGGACAGACCTGATAGTCATTCATCAACTTCATAAGGGACTCTCTGAGTGCTGGAATCTTCGTATTCGGTGCGATTTTATTCAAGAGCAGTCTGGGATCGAAGCCCTCACTAGCCGCATGCTTTAGAAGGGCAGAAATAAATGCTGGTTTGTCGACAGCAAATAGAACTACATGTTGCCAAAGTTCGCCGGCGGTTTCATCACGTTCTTCTTCTTCCTCATCAGCTACCTCGTAGAATTCACCTCCTTCAGAGATACAGTCACCAGGAATTCGTCCGCCAGACCCAGCGAAAGGTTTGTCAACATAATCACCTAGATTGAGTTGGAACAGATCAATTTAATAATTCAGTTACTCCGGGTTATAGGATAGATAGGATTAATTAATACATTACTACATTCACTATCAAAAAAACGTTCGAAAAAAAGCGTCGCAATTCAGACATGAAGAATAAATAGTGTAGACTAAAAACCCCTTGGATAATTTGAAGAAAGGGAAATATCTTGTCTTTCTAGGCCAAATAATAGAAGTACACGATGAAAAGATTTGTAGGTCAATCTCACCAGAGGACGCTGGCGGATTCGCTCTATACTGCAGACGTGTGGCTTTAATACGAGGTTCAAGTTGACTCAGTCAATGAGACATCCTCCAACGTTTTGGACAAAGACAGGCTGAGAATTCGTTCGTAATATGACAAACAGGGATTCATTCTTGCAAAAGCCTTAAGTTAACACTGAATCAAAAAGAGTTAGTGTCTCTCTCTCATAAAAGCGATCACACGATCAAATTTTCTTGTAGCAACCCGATCTAAATAATGGGTCATATTTCTCTAAAAATGGGCATAACTGAAGAAAGTGTCGTTGTTTCCCAGAAATCGGTTTTTACTTCCCACTTCCTTACTCGTTCACCTATCCTTCGAGAAAGAATGCACGAAGGCAAAGACAACACATGAGAAAAGGTCTCCTTATCTCTCCTTACGTTTTCACCATTAAAAATATATTCCTTATTAAGCTAATGTAAGTTTCAATAAAACCTAGGGATAATTATTCTCAAGAAATATTATTTAAAGCTGATCCAGTTTATTATCACAATGGTCTCGGTCGGCTAATCTTATGCTCCGAATAATAATAGATTTTAAAACTCGAACTTTGCTTTGTAACTATAATTGGAGAAGAAATTAAGGATAAAGACAACATTTGTTGGATTTCTGTATAAATCCCTGCTTAACTTCCCACATACTCTGATCACTAAAACATCTAAAAAGAATAAATTATTGTCCTTCTCTATCTCCATTGTCAACTTAACATTGCAGTCAATCTAGTTAATTAAGAACAAGAAATTATCTAAACTATCCTTACCATGCTGGTTTCGTGCATAGGCGAACACATACAGGCACATACACATACAGAGACAGGCACACTCACATGCTTAGGAGATGACATATGACTGGAACTAACAAAATCACTTACTATCTCATCAAAATATATATACAGTTTTTAGGGATGTGCCAATGAGTTTTCTTGACTCGTTAGCTTGAATTTGGTTGTTAAGATGATACCTTGCTCTGATGATGTTCGTCATATGAAGGGCGAAAGCTTACCACGTTTTCACTGAAAGCGATGGAGATTACCTTGGAAACAGCGTCAACATGAATATTCCTGTAAAGTCAATCGATAATTAGTCAAGAGGAATCCACCGTCGTTTTCTGGTGGAATCGACCTTCGAATCACTTCAGCGAACACTTCCACTCGAAATGGAAGTAAGCTTAACAAGTGAGAAGTAATTTCGACGAAATGAAAAGTTCCTATCTCTAAAACGCATACATACACACCAGCCGACTGTAGGTCGCAGTTCATTATATCAGAGTTCCCCCGAGCATGAGGTAGATGCACCGAGGTGGTTCGCTTGGATACTCTCTTACGAATCGAAGGAACCACTGCTTGCCGAGAAGCGTCTTCTTCACGACAGAATGCAATGGCCGCGGCAGCGGCTGCTGCCTGCCGCTGCTCCAAAGTGGCAGCAGAGCCATCGAGATTTACAACTGAGTCACCTCCCTGTTATAATTAGGTAAGGGTTTTAAAAAAGATAGGTAATGATATAAAGAATAATCGATATAAGATAGCACAAGAAGACAAGTTGTTGAAAGTTCCCAACATTCATCTAATGATTTATGCTCAGACTTTAAAATGTAGCTGTATCCACGATAGGCTAAAAGGTATTTTGATGATCAAGTGAACGAAACCATAAAGTGAAAGAGCAGAGGCAAGTGCAGTGTTGGGCCAGATAACTGTCGAACGGAATATCAGAAGAGAAGAAAGGTGAAAACTTCACTTAGCGTCGAACGACACTCAATGGAAGATGAAATCAAATGATAGGCACTAACCGAGATGGATATGATGAGTACTCTGCTAACCATTTTTTGTTTAGAATAAGTATCGATGGTGTCAAACCTTAAGTTACTTTATTAAAACACTTTAATAGTGTACGAAACTAGAATTTTAGCTATATTAGAGTACAGTTACGTGCATAGTAAATGAATATAAACGTATTTCCCCCGACTCACACAGCCTGGTCTCAGCTATTGTTTGAAGTGCTGATAAGATCTGAGCAAGATCAAGTCTGCGTTTCATCTTGGAAAAATTATAAAGATTTACCAGATGGAAAGTACCATAAGTAAAAATCAAACCTGACTAAAATAACTAAAACGCAGAAAAACCTTAACCACAAAATTAAAAACCAGTTAACACAATATAAGACAATTGATTTTTTCGAAGAACAAAAGCATCTGAAAAATGTAAATATCAATTATGTTTTAATTTTGAAAAAAGTATATGTTGACCAAGGCAACAAAGGAGTATCATTTGAATAAAACTGATATGGAATCCAGAATAGAAAGAAGGCGAATGATGGCCTGCTAAAGAGTGCAGGGTAGAGTTGTGAAGATTGGGAGCCAGATATATTAGAATTCACGGACTTGGCTTGAGAAAGTAGTGGAGAAAAATATTATTGGAGATGGAGCACTTATTCACACTCCTTATATATAAGAGCAATCAAATCCTGAAAATGAAAGTTAGAGTATAGCTTGTAACAGTAAGGAATAGGGCCTATAATAAAGAATCTAGTTTACTAGTAAAAAAACGGGTCTCAGTATAATCATGACTTAATGCTTGATCAAGGCGATTCAGATCAGGCTCTTTAACGCTGATTAATCAAATAAACAAGGATAATTTCAACTGGAAGTGGTTTGACTTACATTTCGCAACTTGGTCATCTCCTTAAGGAGACCTAGATGAACACATGTCCGAAGGCAATAATATCCATGCTAATTTTCAGAGTCAGACCGTCGACTTTGTACATTCCCAGACGTTTCGCAGGCATCGTCAGTGTGCCTTGAAATTCTTAGCACAATGCTACAACTCGTCAAAGAGACAAGTGTAGTTGATACTTTGACAAACTGTCTGTTTAACTTATGAAGAGAAGCTGGGTTTC